GGTGGCTCAGTTGCCTCATAGCGAGTGCCCGTTATTGGTTATGTTTTTTCCACTTTTTTGAAATGTTTAGTTTTCCTTATATGTGCGTAATTATAAATTGCCAAAGCGCAAAGTAGCCCTGCAGCAGCAGTAGCAATTTCACCATCCATACTCGTCAAGAGCCCAAACTATACTGTGAAGTATGGAACTGTTGGAACAAATTTCGGGTTTCGCACCGCGATTTCACGCCGTGATCCGCGCGTGAGTCTGGAGATGATATAAACCTACTAATTGTTAAAACAATTAGATGAGTCATTCGTCAGATATTACCAACCTTTTTACTGTCTGTATGCCATCAATCATACATACATACAATAATTGAGAAGTTGGGCTTTTCATATGATTTAGAAGCTGTCTTGAGAGTGAGCTCATATTGGTTATTGTTAAGTTTGATTAAATATCAAGTCCTTCATTCCAAAGGTGTCACACCATTTTACTTTTACCTTGTTATACTAATTGTGTCAAATCAACAAAAAAGGCTGCAGTTTATATTATGATATTTTAGCACAGGAAATGAGCATGATTTTACTAAAGCCTGGATAAAATGTGAGGCTGTTGAAGAATTGAAGTTGGTCAACGATTTGGGCACTGAGACCTGTGGAGTTACAGAAATTACTGAGGAATACATCATTAAAGATGAAGATAATCATATGAAACATCCTGTGCCACAAGGAAGCTATAAGCTCCATGTGTGTACTCACTGTAATGCAACATTCAGGATGAAGAGAAGTTTAGATGGCCATATATTTAAGAAACATCCTGATTTTGTTGCAACTATTTCTAGTAGAATGCTTTTGTGTGCACATTGTTCATATAAAACTATCACGAAAGAACATTTGGCTAATCATATGCTGATGCATGCTGGGTTTGATGGTAGATATAAGCTCAGTATGTGTATTCACTGCAACAAAACATTCACAAGAAAGATTAATTTATGTGATCATATAGTTAAGAAACATCCTGAGTATATTGCGTCAGTTTTAACCAAAATTCATGAATGCAAATATTGTGTTTATAAATCCACCTCAAAACGTAATTTAAGTAGACACATGGGCAAGCATCTAAATGCAAGAAGCAGAGGACAGATTAAAATATGTATTCACTGTAAAGGAAGCATAAAAGATAAGTCAAGTTTAGATGATCATATAATTGATAAACATCCTGAGCATACTGCAACTGTTACAAGTAAAATACATGAATGTAAATATTGCAGTTTAGATAGACATATGGGGAAGCATCCAGAGGCAGAAGGTGACGGTCAGCTTGAAGTTTGTATTCACTGTAGTAGAATATTCAAAAGTAAGGTAAATTTACATGATCACATAGTTGGTAACCATCCTGGGTATATTACAACAGTTTCAAGTAAAGTCCATGAATGCTTATATTGCGAATATAAAACGACCCTCAAGAGTAAATATGCCAACCATATGTTGAAACATCCTGATTTTACTAGTGAGGTGTCTATTAAAATACATGAATGTGCATACTGCACTTATAAAACTGCCTTCAAAAGTAGCTATTCTAGACATATATTGAAGCATCCTGGTGCAAAAAGTAGCCATAAGTTCAATGTGTGTAGTCACTGTAATGCAAGATTCATAAATAAGAATAATTTAAATGACCATATAATAAAAAAACATCCTGAACATATTGCATCAGTTTCAAGTGAAATATATGAATGTACAAATTGCACTTATAAAACTGCCGTCAAAAGTAGCTTTGCTAGGCATATGTTGGAGCAGCCTTGTACAAATAGTAGTCATAAGCTCAAAAAATGCGTACATTGTAACGCTACATTTAAAGCTAAAATACTTCTAGATAACCACATAGTTAAGAAACATCCAGACTTAATAGCATCAATTTCTAGTAAAATACATGAATGTACACATTGCACTTATAAAACTACCTTCAAAAATTTCTTGGCTAGACATATGTTGAAGCATTCTGATGCAACAAGTAGCCACAAAGTCAATGTATGTATTCAGTGTAATAAAACATTCATAAATAAGAAAAGTTTAAATGATCATATAATAAAGAAACATCCTGAACATTCTGCATCAGTCTCAAGTAAAATACATGAATGTACACATTGCTCTTATAAAACTGTCTACAAAAGTAGGCTGGCTGTCCATATATCCAAGCATCCTGGTGCTGAAAGTAGCTATAATCTCAAAAATTGTGTTCACTGTGAAGCAACATTCAGATCTGAGAAAAGTTTAGATAATCATATAATTAAGAATCATCCTGAGTATATCTCATCAGTTTCAAGTAAAATACACGAATGCACACATTGCACTTACAAAACAACGATCGTAAGAAACTTTAATAACCATTCATGTAAAATACATATGCAGAATCAGCCAGGGGCAGAAGATGGATGTGAGATTAAAACGTGTAATCACTGTAATGCGACATTTAGAACAAAGAGAAATTTAGATCAACATATAATTATGAAACATCCTGACTTCATTGCCGAGGTTACGAGTAAAATATATGAATGTGCACATTGTGCATTTAAAACCACTAGGAACTATTATTTATCTAAACATATGCTAACACACACTTGGGCAGAAAGTGCTTGTAAGCTCAAAAAGTGTGTCCACTGTAACGCTACATTTAAAACTAAAATGCTTCTGGGTAATCATATAATCACGAAACATCCAGGTTTCATAGCATCAGTTTCTGGTAAAATACATGAATGTAACCATTGCACTTATAAAACTACCTTCAAAGGTAAGTTGGCTATACATGTGTTGAAGCATCCTGGTGCAAAAAGTAGCTACAAACTCAATGTATGTATTTACTGTGATGCAACATTCATAAATAAAAAAAGCTTAAATGATCATATAATAAAGAAACATCCTGAACATACTGCATCAGTTTCAGGTAAAATACTTGAATGCCAATATTGCACATTTAAAACTACCTTGAACGGTTGTTTGACGAGACATATGGGGAAACATCCAGAGGCAAAAGGTGGTTATGCCCTTAAAACGTGTATTCATTGTAACGCGGCCTTTAAATCTAAGAGAAGTTTAGATGATCATACAATTAAAAAACATCCTGAGTATATTTCATCAGTTTCTAGTAAATTATATGAATGCACACATTGCACTTACAAAACTACCGTCAAAAGGGATTTAGATAGTCATTTAAGTAAAATACCAAAGGCAGATGGTAGTGGTAAGTTGATAAAAAATAGAAAAAGAAAATAGAAGCTTTAACAGTTTTACACCACTTTTCAGTGGTGTAAAACGTGAAACGTTTCAAAAAAAGATATATATGGTTTTCGGATGTTATAATACGACCATGTCACAAATTTTCGGCGGTCTGTGTGTCCGCTAGTCATTGGACCGCCTATAACTTTGGAAGTACCACGCCGATTTGGATGAAATTAATAAAAATGGCGTCAATAAGGACGTTACTTTTTAGTCAATGACGTATTAGGCCAAAAGTGACCGAACCATTTTGGTGTCATCATCCTCACTGGGTGATGACGGGTTCGTGTTGCGTAATAAGTCAGAGTCAATCTTTTCGACGCAAGTAAATTATCACATTCGCTACAAGTAATCAATTGTATACATATATTGCAAATTCTGTTACTCATATGAACATGTTATACTGTGATTAGCATTGGCGCATATAGAATGTATTATTATCTATGCTAGTGTTTAAAGCACTGATTAGAAAATTGAATATAAACATATTATTATAATATCTGTTTTTGTAATAAATACAAATATATCGTTTTAAAACGAACATGATACTCAGGATTTTAAAACCAATTATTTCCTGAAAATTTTCCGTCTTGCCAATTTTTATCCCTAATTGAAAGTCCTTTCTTGGTCACGTTACCACATTATAAAACTTTCCTCTTGAACTGTAGAAGACGAAATATTCAGCTTCAGTGAATCTAGACTTTTATTTATTTAATCATCTTAACGAAAAAAAGCGGTCATGAATCCATCCTACAAAAAAAAGCTATTCTGCAAGATCGAGGTCACAATTTGGCGAGCCAGCTAATCTATTCATAACCCTATCCAGTGTACCCTATAATCAAATCCAAGCGAATAACCAAAATTTCTGTGTTATGTGCCGCGGTTATAATATGGTTCAAGATGACACACGGGTTGATGACGTCATTTACCCGAATCGCTTGAACGCGGTTTTATTGCAAGTTTTTTATTTTAGAAAAGTGCGTATATAATTTCTGATTACTTTTTATCATCACTTAATAATCGGTACTTTTTTGTCTACAACGGTGTATGGAAATTTTTTTAATGATGGAACCATGGTTTTGTAGCTATGATAATTGTTCCAGTGAGTTGAATGGACATATTTTAATATCCTTGTGGTATATGGCTACACAGGATACTTTGTTAAACATAGGAACTAGATTGAAAGTGTTTCCAACAACAGTAATGAGTATAACTAGTAAGGTGCTCCACTTTATGCAAACACAAGTCACACTGTATACAGTTTCCCAAAAATGAAGCTGAAGTACAATAACAATATCCAATACCCGGCAAAATTCTAACTTGTCACATTTCAAATAATAACCAGAAATATAAAACTACTCCTGAGTTGGGTAAATACCACAATTTTGCGGTACAAAAAACTGAATTGCATGAATTTTTGGACATTGTAGCCGAAAAAGAACATTGGATTTTCGTATTGAAACTGCAACTACTTACTCGATACGTAACGAAAAGTCGTAAATTCGTTAAAAGTTGGTGTTGCCCAGCATAATTTTTGTTGGCTATTTAGTCTGATTTTGCTTTACCTTAGATTTTTGAACTAGTTTTTATTTTGGTATCTAATTAACAATCTTAATTCACTTTGAACTTTGTTTTGCCAATTTTGGATGTTCGCACCACAAAAATTTATTTACACACATTTATCTCATGACAGATGGTTGCGACTTGGCAACGCTGATATAAAATGAGGTTAGGTTTGTTGTTTTATCCAATGTCAGATAGTTTTTGTTTACTGGATTTTGGTGTAAACGCTTGCTGCGGTTGAGGAAGGTTCTTCCCGTTATGAGCGTCTTTCTGGACGGTAAAGAATTTGAAATCGTCCCAATGAGCGATGAACATGTTAAAAGGGAGATAGAGGATGTTGCAGAACTGCAAAAAGAAAAAATCAAAGTGGAAAATGATTTAGATAATAAGGAAGTCACTCAAATAACTCGTACATTTATTAAAGATGAGTACAGCCTATGCTCTAGTACAGGTGTTGCAGACACAGTTTCGGATAGGTGAGTGCCCAAAAACCTGTAAAAAAATGTTTACTATGTTTAAAGAGTTACAAAAGCATGTACATAATAAGTACAAAGTTGTTGAACACAGTAAAAGTATTCTACCTGAAGATTGTCAATCTGGTACTATATTCGCGTGTCCGAGATTACCCGATATGGAATGAGATATTGAAGCCTATTTTTCCTGTCCCCAAAATTAGGTCTCCTTTGAAAAGGTTAGTGTCTGGTAGATGGCGCATTTATAGTTGGCTACAGCGCTATCTATGAGACACTAGCCTTTCCACAGTAGATTCCTATTCACTTCTTGTCCGATATTTTGTGCGCGCGAATATAGTATTAGCTATTTTCACTTTCAGGTAAAACACGTTGATCGATGGTGGTGGCCACATATATACATTATTCTCTTCCATAATTTAGGAACCAGGAGATCATCATCTGTAATTTAAATATTGTGAAATTATGCGATGCATGTGCCTCAATTTTTGCTAACACATCATTCTTAACTAACCAGCATTTTATATAATGGATGTATTTTAAGATAGATTCATGTTGCAGCTTGACTAGTTAATGTGTATTCTAGAAAATTAACATAATAATTTATTAAAATACATATGAGTTTATGTATAATTTCAACAGAAACATGAAACCAACAAAAAAATCGGTTGGAATTCGACAAATTTTAATCAAACTTAAAAGGGATTTGATGAGTTGTAGTATTATAAGTTATTGTTGTTACATTCAAGCAAATTCCAAGTTGTGTATTAAGTATTGTCTTAATAGTATGAAAATCTTGAAAGTGTTAATTCCAATAGTTACACTATTATACTTACATGATGCTACTCATTGTTTAAATTTAAAGGTCATCGTTCAGAATTTCATGTTTTTTAATCTGCACATGTCTCCTAATATGTGCAGTATATGTATCAAAAAGCTACAGTTTATATTATCGTATTCCAGCACAGGAAATGGGAACGATTTTACAGAAGCCTGGATTAAATGTGAAGCTCTTGAAGAACTGAAGGTGGAAAACGATTTGGACACTGAAACATGTGGGAATACAGAAATGGGAGAGGAATACATCATTAAAAATGAGAATGGTATGGCACAGGGAAGCCGTAAGCTCAGTGTGTGTATTCACTGCCATCAAACTTTCACAAGAAAGTTTAATCTAGGTGATCATATAATTAAGAAACATCCTGAATATATTGCAACAGTTTCAAGCAAAATACATGAATGTAAATACTGTGTATTTAAAACCACCTCAACACGCAATTTTAGTAGACATATGGAGAGGCATCCAGGTGCAGAAGGTGGATGTGAGCCTAAAATGTGTATTCACTGTGATGCAAAGTTCAAGTCTAGGACAAGATTAAATGATCATATAATTGAGAAACATCCAGAATATATTGCATCTGTTGCAAATGACATATATGAATGTCAATATTGTGTATTTAAAACCACCTCAACACATAATTTAAATAGACATATGGAAAAGCATCCAGGGGCAGAAGGTGGACGTGAGCCTAAAATATGTATTCACTGTGATGCAAAGTTCAAATCGAAGGCAAGTTTAGATGACCATGTGATTAAGAAACATCCCGAAGATATGGCATCAGTTACAAGTAAAATCCATGAATGTAAATATTGTGAATTTAAAACCACCGCAAGATCTAATTTACGTAGTCATGTGGGGAAGCATCCAGGGGCAGAAGGTGGATGGCAGCGCAAAACGTGTGTTCACTGTAACAGGACATTCAGTAATAAGATATGTTTACATGATCACATAGTTAGGGACCATCCTGGGTATATTACAACAGTTTCAAGTAAAGTTTATGAATGCATATATTGTGTTCATAAAACTACATCCAAGTATAAGTTTGATAGGCATATGTTGAAACATCGTGATTTTGCTCCTGATGTTTCTAGTAAAATGTATGAATGTGCACATTGCACTTATAAAACTGTCTTCAAAAGTAGTTTGGCTATACATTTGCTCAAGCATCCTGGTGCAAATAGTAGCTATAAGCTCAAAAAATGTGTTCATTGTGATGCTACATTTAAAACCGGATTGCTTCTAGGTAATCATATAATTAAGAAACATCCAGACTTTGTGGCATCAATTTCTTTCAAAATACATGAATGTACTCATTGCACTCATAAAACTACTTCCAAAGGTAGATTGGCTATACATATGTTGAAGCATCCCGGTGCAAAAAGCAGCCACAAGCTTAATGTGTGTACTCACTGTGATGCAACATTCATATATAAGAAAAGTTTAAATGATCATATAATAAAGAAACATCCTGAACATACTGCATCAGTTTCAAGTAAAATACTTGAATGTACACATTGCACTTATAAAACTACCTTCAAAAGTTTGTTGACTAAACATATGTTCAAGCATCCTGATGCAAAAAGTAGCCACAAGCTCAGTGTATGTAGTCACTGTAATACAACATTCATAAATAAGAAAAGTTTAAATGATCATATAGTAAAGAAACATCCCGAACATACCGCGTCAGTTTCAAGTAAAATATTTGAATGTAAATATTGCACATTTAAAACCACCTTGAAGGGCTGTTTAACTAGACATATGGGAAAGCATCCAGAGGCAGGAGGTGGTTGTGCCCTTAAAACGTGTAATCACTGTAACGCAGCATTCAGATCTAAGAGATGTTTAGATAATCATACAATTAAGACACATCCAGAATATATTGAATCAGTTTCAAGCAAAATACATGAATGCACGCATTGCACTTACAAAACTACCGCCAAAAAGGGCTTAGATAATCATTTACGTAAAGTACATAAGGGGAAGCATCCAGGGGCGGGTGGTAGCGGTAAGTTGTTGAAAAATAGAAAAAGAAAACAGTAGCTTTAACCGTTTTTAAGAAAGTACAATACCACATTCGCAACAAATGCATGTAGCAATAGGTTGAAGTAAAACATTACATCGTTCAGATTTATTATAAATACTATTGTTTGTATGAGCATGTTATACTTTGACTAGCATTAGCGCATATACCTAGAATGTATTATTCTCTACGCCAGTGTCAGAAGCACTGGTTAGAAAGTTGTATGTGAACATACTGTAATATTTATTTTTTGTAATAAATACAAATACATCGTCTTGGAGAAGACGTTCTACGCACATGATATTCAGGATTTTGAAACCATTTCCAGAAAATTGACCATTTGTTCTTTTTTTATCACTGATTGAAAGTTATGTATTGATCACATCAAGACGATTTCAAAGAATCTATATTTCATGTTGAATGTATAGATGTCGTGGCAATAGTGTAAAATTGGCCATTTTTCGAACTGAATCATTATCTATTGGCCAGATCAATGATATCACATGTTAACGAAATGAGCTAAACGCGAGACTCTCCATGAAATAGTCAAGCGTATTTTGCAGTCCGACCCTGTTCCCTGCGTCATGCTGACAGCGAAGTCGTGTATAATTATGGGACGTGAAGGTTCGCGCGGGAGAACGTCTGAGAAACCTGTGGCGTAACATACTGCATTGTCATTCGATTGTAGTTGAAGAATATACTTGTTAACGCAATTCGCATCACTACTATTAACAATTGCTCACTATCCTAGACCACAATTTGATCAAATCGAAAATATTTACATTATTACATTACTAGCCAAAAGAGGCGCTGACAGCGCTTTGTTTACATTTCAGCACGTATTCGTTAATAACGTTGTTTTTCGAAGTGAAAAATTGTATTCGTCAATAATAATATTTATATTTGTACGCATCACAGTGAATACTGGATGTGTAGCATTAGCTTTTAATTTCCGTCAGTCGGAAATTTTGGTTGCACCGGGTCTTAATTACCTACGCGTTACGTAACGAGAAGTTGTGAGTCTAATAGAGGTGGTATTGATCGATATTGTCAAGGTTGCCAAGCGTATGGGGAATTATGATCGGCTGCGAAAAGTTTGGTTTTATTTTAGAGCTTGCTTACTTTTTTCGATTTTATTGCGGCTAATTAGCAATTCGGGTTTTGGAATTCTTGTGTGAAAAGCGTTCAGGTATCCACTGCAGTGAAATAACAGTTGATTATCTAGTAATATTTCAAAATTCTCCATATCTATTTTGTTTTGGTTTTTTGTACGTTACAGATTAATTTTGTACCTGCTAACAACTCATTAAGAAAATTTCAGTTGCATACAAAGATACTACAAGCAAGTTTTATTAGATTTACACCCGATCCATTATTGCCAACGTTTAAAGACTAATACAAATATGTCACTTGCTGATCAGCTGCTGTTCACCTCACTACTTCACTAGACGTCAAAACGTGATGGATACTCATAAAATAGGGGGAAGATTTTCTGTTATGGACGTCCAAAAATTAACCGATGGATTTTAAAGGCGGAAAAGTGACCCATATTATGAAACATGAAAACGGGGAACGGTCAGAAATGGAAAAAGAAAAAATAAATATGGGATATGAATTTGATAATAAGGACGAGCTTGAAGTAACAATAAAAAGTGAGAAAGAGGAACCTTTTGAGATGCAAAAAGAAAAAATAGAGGTGGAAAATGAAGTCGCTCAAATAAGTGATGGATTTGTTGAAGATGAATATGGCCGATGTATTGATAAAGGTGCTGCAATGGCAAATTTTCCTAAAACTGCTATGAAATTTGAAAGAACTAGTAAAGTAGTTCTTGGAATGCAAGATGAACAAATAGAGCTGCAAAAGAATACATATAATGACAAATTCCAAGTTACAGATATTTGTGACCCACTGACTATTAAAAATGTGAAAGATGAATTTTGGCTCGATAATGAAAACACAGAAAATGTTTCAACCAGGTAGAATATTGAATATTATATTTTAAATAGTGACCACTTATACTTCCTTTTATGGTTTAGATGGTATCAGCTGTAATTTATATGTTGTGAAGTCAAGTACCACCTGACGAAAGTGATCCTAAACTAAGCCATAAGTAATCATTTCTTTACAGAAATTGAAACTACTCAACCACACTCATGCCATCTATCATCAATATTATGTACTATAAATTCTTGTTACTTCCAATTACTTTTGATGTTATTGCAAAATTTTTAAAATAAGGGAAAAGCATCTGCTCAAAATTCAAAAATATATTGTTACTGAGATGATACACAAAATTTAATTTAACCTATACACATTTGCAATCAATTTCAATAATATTTTACTATATACAGGGTGTCCGCAAAGTTGGAGCTTTCTTTTTCAGACACAATCACGAACAAGTAAAAAAAAATGAAAAAGTACTCACTGTTCAGTTGATTTGAAATTCCACGTACGGCTCTGTCGTAAAATCCGTATTTACATCGTAGTCGTACGTCGTATAACTGTACGCCGGCGCTGTGAACGTGATCGAGGGATAGGACAGGACCGATTTCGGTTTGGTTCAGGTATGATTGAGTTTGCAGAGTCCAATATCTTATATTCTCAAGATCTACACGTCCTGTAAAGGAAAACTCCTACTTTGCGGACACCCTGTATAATTAAACACATGTTCTTGCCTGAATATTTTTACGCACTACCAATGACTCGTGGCGACTAACAATACCTCGAATCCTGCATTTCGAATGATACCCCTCCCGACTAACCCATCCCGCTAGTATATCCAGAATTGCAATTTAAAGTTGAAACATTCTGATTGAACACCCTTTACTGACATCAAAAGATTGCGATACACCCTTCCCCCATACACCCAAAAATCCGCACCCCCAATTTTTCATCCGAAACGTAAAAAAAAACGAAGTTGAGCGATTTTAATTGCCGTCTGTGGTATTTTTTCCGCCCCTATTGGAGCGGACAGACAGACAGACCGACCGACGGAGATGAGTGACATGATTTATAGTGATGTATACAAGTAATATAACCCATCAATATATCAAGTATGTTTAAAACACTGCAGTTTATATAATCATGTTTCAGTATAGCAAATGACCATACTTCTATTTACCCTTGGATAAAATGTGAAGCTGTTGAAGAATTGAAGTTAGAAAATAATTGGGACTCTGACAACAGTGGACTTGCAGGAATCACTGAGGAATACATAATCCAAAATGAAGATGATGATGCTTCAGTTTCTAGTGAAATACATGGGTTGATACAAACTTCTTCAAAAGATACAATTGCATATCCTGTGGCAGAAGATAATTGTAAACTCTTTGTATGTGTTCACTGTAATATGTCATTCAGAATGAAGATAACTTTACATGATCATATCATTAGGCAACATCCTGAGCACATTGCTTCAATTTCAAGGAAAATACATGAATGCGCACATTGCACTTATAAAACTATCTTCAGAGATCGGTTTACTAGGCATATGTTGCAACATCCTGGTATAGATATTGGTTATAAACTGAGTGTCTGTACGCACTGTAACAGGACATTTATGAATAAGCCAAATTTAGATGATCATATAATTAAGAAACATCCTGAATGTGTTTCATCAGTTTTAAGAAAAGTCCATGAATGCACAGAGTGCACTTATAAAACTACGATCAAAAGGGAGTTAGATAATCATACAATTAAGAAACATCCTGAGTATATTGCATCAGTTTCAAGTAAAATACATGAATGTATATATTGCATTTTTAAAAGTATAAAAATCAGGGAGTTGGATAATCATATAATTAATAAACACCCTGAGTTTATTGCGTCAGTTTCACGTAAAGTCTATGAATGTACACATTGCCCTCATAAAACTACCATTAAAAGGGATTTCACTAGACATATCTCGAAACATCCTGGTGCAGATAGTAGCTATAAGCTCAGTGAGTGTATTCACTGTAACAGAACATTCAAATGTAGGAAAAGCTTGGACGATCATCTAATTAATAAACATCCTGAGTATATGGCATCAGTTTTAAGAAAAATACTTGAATGCACACGTTGCACTTACAAAACTACAATTAAGAGGCAGTTAGATAATCATATAATTAAGAAACATCCCGAGTATATTGCATCAGTTTCAAGTAAAATACATGAATGCAAATATTGTGTATTTAAAACCACCTTAAAAGCTCATTTAGCTCAACATACGAGAAAACATCCGGAGGCAGAAGGTAGATATGAGCTTAAAACCTGTATTCACTGTAACGCGACATTCAAATCTAGGAAAAATTTGGATAATCATACAATTAAGAAGCATCCTAAGTATATTGCAACAGTTTCAAGTAAAATACATGTATGCACACATTGCACTTACAAAACTGTCAGCAAGTGGGAATTAAATATTCATACAATTAGGAAGCATCCTGACTATGTTGCATCAAGTTAATTCCTAACATGAAATTAACTTATCGTCCACCTGTAGTATGCATTTTCATCCTGACTACAGTCTGAGATTTTGGTTACAAACATATGCTTCTACCTAGTCTTGAATTAGTTGGTAACTGTACATCCAGACATAAGGCAGTTTTATAAAAAAATAAAATATATTTGCAATAAATTATCATTTGGATAATTGTATACTATTCAGACAGATTTTAGTGGGTGATTCCTTGTTAAAAAAAATGAAAAAAAGTTTCTATAAACATGGGTCCGGAAATGCAGTTTTCCATATACAGTGATAAATTTAAAAAAAATATTTACTCGATTCTGTCGAGTTGGCAATATTATTTTTTGTATTAATTAAATTATTAGGTCCAGTGGCGTCCCGGGAGACCTTAGCGAATATTATTGGCAAAAAATGTACGATACTGCCTTTTTTGCAATTTTATTATTTGTTGTTAAATAAAGCATCTAAAAATACAACTTCTTATATTTTTTTCGTATTTCACTTCGTTTTCGAGAAAAAAATAATTAATAACGTTTCATTGCATGTCACTGAACAAAAATCATTTCTGCATGAAGGTTTAACATTTGCGCGTCAGTTTTTATAAAAAAGAATTATTCACCTAATTCAAAAAACAATTATCACCCTGAATCTTGAAAATTTGGCATTTCCAGACTAATGTTTATAGAAACTTTTTTTATATTATTTTTATAAAATATCTCCGTCTATTTTTCGAGCACCCTGTATACTTGTATGAATAATTGTTATAGTGTGACTAGCATTAATTCAGCAGATTTAGAAAGCATTCTCTATTATGTCAGTATTTGCAACACTTTCACTAACTAGAAAATTGTATGTGAACATATTGACATTTATTTTTTGTAATATATCGTTTTCAAAGAAGAAAATAGTATTACTGGCCGAAAATTAGGCGAATAATTAAAATTATTGGAAATGCCAATAATATATAACAATAATTCATATTTTAAATACAAATTGGGTGAATGTCAGTAGAACCTAAATAAACAGAAAGAAAAAAAACAAACGTTATTGACTGGACTGTAACTGCTTACGAGGTACGTAACGAGAAACCGTAAATCCGTTATAGTGCGGTATTGCCGGTCATCAAAATTTTTGTTGCCTACAAGTGTGATTTCATTTTCTGCTAGTTTTTATTTCTGCAGCTAAAAATTTTAAATGTTAATCCACTTCTGGACATTTTATGGCCAATTTTGTATGTTCGCACACTCATCTTATGACGTGTGGTTACGCCTTGGCAACGCTGCTGTCTGCTGTCATGTTTGTTGTCAGTTGCTGAGATTCTAAACAAAAAGTTTTTGGGGTGTTTGTTTACTATTGTCAAAGCTTGTCAAGGTTAAATTTATTTCGTCTAAAAACAATAAATGAAACCGGAAAACCTCTTGAACAGTAACGAATTCGTCCAAATGAGCCATGAACTTTTTAAAAGTAAGAAAGAGGAAGTTTCAGAACTGGAAAAACAACAAATAAAAGTGGAAAATGACTGTGATAGCAAAGAAGACACGGATTCTGATAGGTTGTGCCTTAGAATCTTCTAAAAAATGTTGTTTATTATTTGAACTATTTCAGACGGTTTAATGTGTGTGATACAACGTTAAATTTTGATCCAAGTGCCATGAAATTTGAAGGGACTAGTGAGGGAGATCTCAAAATGCAAGAGGAGCAATACGATGTAGATAGTGATCACAAAGTTCTAGAATATTGTGACCCACTGATTATTAAAAATGAGAATGCAAACACAGAAAATGTTTCAGCCAGGTGAATACTCTCTACTATGTTTTACAAAGCTGCCAGTTATATTCTCTTCTATAGTTTATCAGTAGAGCATCAGATGTAATTTGAATATTAAGTTGTTTGATGCATGTATCTCAGTTGTTGCTAACAGAATATTCTCCACTTGTTGTACAGAATTGATGTATTTAGGATTCATTCACAAGGTATATTCTCAAGAATTAACATATCAATTTATTCAAATATTATGAATAATTTACTTGAAGTTAGGTTTTTTGTATGATTTAGAAGCATTCATAAGAGTGATTCTGTAGTTATTGTTGTTAAATTCATCATGTCATCAGAACATGTTTCACTCTACATTTATATTATCTTATTTTAGCACAACCCATTTTACTGAAACTTGGATAAAATGTGAAGCTATTGAAGGATTGAAGTTGGAAAATAATTTGGACACTGAAACATGTGGGATTACAGAAATTAGAGAGGAATACATCATAAAAAATGAAAATGATCATATTTTGAAACACCCAATTGTATTAGGAGGCTACAAGCTCCATGTGTGTATTCACTGTAATGCAACATTCAGAAAAAATTCAAGTTTAGATGATCATATGATTAAGAAGCATCCTGAGTCTATTACATCAGTTCTAAGTAAAATACATGAATGCCAATATTGTGTATTTAAAACCGTCAACAAATCTAATTTAAGTAGACATATGGGGAAGCATCCAGAGGCAAAAGGTGGATGTGAGCCTAAAATGTGTATTCACTGTGATGCAAAGTTCAAATCGAAGGCAAGTTTAGATGACCATGTGATTAAGAAACATCCCGAAGATATGGCATCAGTTACAAGTAAAATACATGAATGTAAATATTGTGAATTTAAAACCACCGCAAGATCTAATTTACGTAGTCATGTGGGGAAGCATCCAGGGGCAGAAGGTGGATGGCGCAAAACGTGCATTCACTGTAACAGGACATTCAGTAATAAGATATGTTTACATGATCACATAGTTAGGAACCATCCTGGGTATATTACAACAGTTTCAAGTAAAGTTTATGAATGCATATATTGTGTTCATAAAACTACATCCAAGTGTAAGTTTGATAGGCATATGTTGAAACATCGTGATTTTGCTCCTGATGTTTCTAGTAAAATGTATGAATGTGCACATTGCACTTATAAAACTGTCCTCAAAAGTAGTTTGGCTATACATTTGCTCAAGCATCCTGGTGCAAATAGTACCTATAAGCTCAAAAAATGTGTTCATTGTAATGCTACATTTAAAACCGGATTACTTCTAGGTAATCATATAATTAAGAAACATCCAGACTTTGTGGCATCAATTTCTTCCAAAATACATGAATGTACACATTGCACTTATAAAACTACCTTCAAAAGTTTGTTGACTAAACATATGTTCAAGCATCCTGATGCAAAAGGTAGCCACAAGCTCATTGTATGTAGCCACTGTAATACAACATGCATAAAAAAGAAAAGTTTAAATGATCATATAGAAAAGAAACATCCCGAACATACCGCGTCAGTTTCAAGTAAAATATTTGAATGTAAATATTGCGCATTCAAAACGATGACGAAGGGTTATTTAACTAGACATATGAGCAAACATCCAGGGACAGAAGGTTATGCCCTTAAAACCTGTCTTCACTGCAACGCAGCATTCAAATCTAGAAAAACTTTAGATAATCATACAGTTAAAAAGCATCCTAAGCACATTGAATCAGTTTCAGGTACAATCTATAAATGCACACATTGTACTTACAAAAATACCATCAAAATGTATTTAAATAATCATATAATCAAGACACATCCTGAGTATATTGCATCAGTTTCAGGTAAAATACATGAATGCATACATTGTTCTTACAAAACCACCTTCAAAAGGGAGTTAGATAATCATATAATTAAGACACATCCTGAGCATATTGCTACAGTTTCAAGCAAAATACATAAATGCCCACAATGCACTTACAAAACTGCGGTAAAAAGGGACTTCAACAGTCATGTATGTGAAAGATATATGGAGAAGCATACGGGCAGATGATAGCTGTAGGGTAATGAAA